TGGTAAATGGTTCTGCTTTATGCAGCTCTATCATAGCTTGCGTAAGGGCAAAATTAAATGTTCACAAATACTGTACTGTTCTTCAATATAAAGCACTGTAGAAGCAATTGATAAATGGCTCAACATATCAGAAATCCATAAGCCTTTCTGAACAGGAAGTGACTTGCACTATTCAACATCCAACACCTCTCAACAGCAGCCTTTCTGCAGGAGGCAGCAATTTTGCTTATAGTAGCTTTTTCTCCGCAAAATACGATCCCTTATCACAGTATTAGTTTTGAGGCTTTTAATAAAATTGAAAGTATGTGAATGTTGTGTCATGCATAATGTTCGTGGCCTGCTTCAGAATTTCCTGACTACTATTACATATAATGCAGGAAATGAAAACAATTCCTTTTTAATCTTTCCTCGTTTCCAAGAAGCAAAGACAGGATCTGGAAGAAGGTAAATGATAATTTGTTTCAACTTGACACTGTTTATTCAATTGCAACAATTATTGAATAGTGGTGACCCCCCCCACCATCCAATTTTTTTGTTGTGTACTGGTAATTTATAGTCTAGGTCAGGGCGATGATTTCTACACTAACTTTATGTTTCTGAAAGGAAAACATAAAAATATAGCTTATGCAGCCCGTGGACGTTTGTTAAATTCGGCACCTGGACCTCAGCAGCCAAAAGGTTGGACTTGGACCACCGTGGTCTAGGCTGACACTCCCATGTCATGCTGGGGATGTGCAGCACTATTGGAGGTGTCGTCCTTCAGCTGAGACATTAAACCAGGATGCTATTTTCCTGTTCCAAACAAGTTCACAAATTGGCTATCGCATTTGTCTACAAAATACATTCCCTACATTTTACAATAAATCCTGTGAGGTGCTAAGAGATGTGATGTGAAACACAACTGTATCAAATGCGAGGATTATTATTTAATTAGTAGAATTCTTAGTGGTAGCCAATGACTAAGTTCATCAAGTTGGAATTCTATAAATAGGTGTAATTGTAAAACACACACCATCGATTTTTGGAATGTATGAGAGCAGAAGTGGCTAACCTCTTTGGTTGGCGAACAATGCTTTTTTTTGGATAGAATATTTCTTAATTTACGGCAAAAATCAAGAAATAGTCAATCAAGAAAAACATGGAAACAGACAACTGATCGAACAAGGACTTGCACAGACTTGTGCGAATGTTCTGGGTGGTGTTTCTGGCCACACTGCTCTGTTAAGAGATTGATGGGTTCCATTAATGTATACATTCAAAGCGGTAATGTTCCAGTTAGAAATTTTAAAGTATATTCTTATTTTTAAAAAATTTAAACCAAACACTAAGATTCAAAGCTCATCCCCAATTCCCAAAGGGGAAGAAAACAAAAATCGAGGATATCATTGGAACGTGGCTCACATTATTCTACATATATTTTGGAATCTATAGAAATGGCTCACATCTAACAGTGCGGGGACCACAGGTGTATTTGGTCACCCGTATAATCTAAAAATGGGGGCACCACTGTATGTATGTGCATGCTTCAGTGCCAGCATTCAATTAGAAAATGAGCATGCAATTGTCAAATTTGCCAAAACACAAATGTCTGCAGCTAGTATAACCTTGCTAAGGTACAAAGTAATGCAATTCTCTCCCAATGGCTGAAAAGGATATAAATTGCTTCCTCTTGATTGAAGTACAGTAAACCAGGTATAAACAAAGATGCTGCCAGCTGCTTTTTGCCTTATTGTCAGAGCAGATGTTCTATTTTTTAATTCTCATCTACTTTTCAATTCAACTGAGAATTGCAGTCTGCGTCTAAGCCTGTAAACCATGATAATGTTCTCAAGCAGATGCGTCATGTGCTTTAGTTCAGCTGTCGTGATCTATATTAAATAATTTGTTTACACTTATCAGCCTTCTTTAGGGAACTAGTTAAATACTGAATCTAAATCGGAGTAAGCTACAGGGATATGGGGAAAGGGCAGGTAAATGGACCTGAAATTAATGCTCTTGAAAGAGCTACCAGACATGATGAGCTGAGTGGCCCTCTTCTGTGTTGTAAATTTCTGGTTTTATCTATGCTTTCATTTTTTAAAGAGACCAGAATTATGTTATTTTTCCTCCCCATCCTTCTGTTTTTCATGTCTGCAAGCTTTTCCTTATAATATTTATGACAAATGAATTACAAGGAACTCAGAACAGACCTTCTTAAGAATATCTGTGTAAGCCGCCAGTACCACACCGTTTGACATTGCTAACACAATGCTGTTTTGAGTGACAAATCATGTCCAAGCCCCACTCTTTCAAACAACCATTCCGAGCATTAAGAATTCCAAGCATTGACTCATCAGAAACCATAATTTGCAAGAATCAAGCTGCATTTAACTAAACAGAGATTTCAAAGTTTAAGTAATTACTCTCCCACTGAGGTCATCTTGTGGATCAAGATGTTAAGATGCCATCAAATACTATATTGCTGCTAGTCTGCTCATATGAAAATGAAGTAAAATACTATACTGCTTCAAATTAATATTTCAACCAAATGCTGGAATAAAAATATCAAATAAAAGCTCCCATTGGTATTATTTTCAAAGGAAAATTCCTACTTTTAGTAGCATATTTGCCTAGCATGGATGGAGACATGGCATTCACACATCCTGTAAAAGATATTCATTTTAATGGGAGCTGCTGTTTTGGAATGGTTGAGAGATCAAAAAAAAATCAAGCCATTTATACTTAAGTTCCCAGAGGCACATATGCAGACCACCCCCTTTTCGTGGGGTATGTTTCTTTGTTTTCTCTCCAAGTTTACTGATTTCCGAGCTACAGTTGGCAGCAAACTGGCAAAGTAAACACATTATTTAAGCAGTAGGAGCTATCTGGTTTGTGTTTTTATTATATATATATAATGCACAGACGGGAGAGCACTCTGTTCAGAAAGTACTCCCAGAATATTAGGTAGCAATTCCTTTGTTAATCTTTTCTTTAGAATCTCTGCACAAAGGTTAACTGTATGCAGTGAAATGGAAAACCTTTCTAGTTAACAGAATCTCAGTCAAGTCACACAATGACACTAAAGCAATCACCTTCAATAGTCCTGCCAGCAGTTTCAGTATAATTGCAGGTTGTGAATACAAAGCTGACGTTAAAAGAAAATATGAACTGATAGGGCAGTCACCAAATATTCACACAAACTTGCAGCTCATTAAATTGTTGCTCCATGAATGAATTATACCTTAATGTAAATGAATGTGAGGAGCCCTCCTATTGCTATTTACACCATCATAAATCACCGATAAATTCTTAGTAGGCAAATACTGAACACAAAAACACCAACTGAATAGCAGCCTTCATGTATAAAAAATAAGATTGGAAGAATAAACTATCAACATACATGGAGAGTATTAAGAGTGCACAAGGGCAGTTTAGTAGCAAATAGTTTTTTTTTAGTTTTGAGTCATAGGGTTATCTATTCCTGAAGCTTGACTAATAACATAATAATAATCCTTGCATTGGATACAGCACATATAATGTCAAAATGTCCCAAAGCATGTCATAGGGAATTGCCCTAAAGTGCGATGACTATTTGCAGCTAATTTGATAATTCACCTGATTGTCATGGGACTTCACCGGCACAGTTAACTCATGTTTGCCTACAAACAGTCACTACACTCAACAATAATTATCTACAATGTGCTTTGAGACTTTTTGACGTGATAAAGGACAATAGAAACACGAGTGGTTTCTTTGTACGTACAACATATAGTGATATAGTGTATCCAAAATAAAAGATCACAATGCAGCTTTATCATGGGATAGTGATCAGGATCCTCAGCCAAACTTTCCTCCCAGAGGGGACAAGAGGCCTAATAATCTTTGCATTCGATATAGCCCCTTATCATGTTGATACACATCTCAAAGCAGTTTTTTTTTGGTGCGCGTAAAGTGTAGTGACTGCGTGTTTCAGTGGTGGTCTAAATTCATCCAGGAAGGAAATGTAGAGTCCTGTAGCTCAGTGGTTAGAGCACTCGCTTTGCAAGCGAGAGACCCGGGTTCAATTCCAGGCACAGGGCGAAACCTTGGGCAAGTTTCCTTACTCCACACGCCTAATAATAATCCCTCCAAAAAACAAAAACAATAATAAATTGGGTCATTTTCAATCTACGACTGTTTGTGGGACATTGCTGTGCGCAATCGGCTGCCGCGTTCGCCCACAAAGATGCAGTCAATTCACTTTACAGTGTGTTCTGTGAAGCGCTGTGGGATGTCCTCCCGACGTGAAAAGCTCCGTATCAAATGCAAGGATTATTATTATCATTATTATAAATGTTCCAACTCAAAAACACTTTTTAAAAAAAAAAGAAGAAGAAACCCCCCCCCCAAAAAAACAACAAATTCAACTGCCCTTAAACAGGCAGCAACACAGTCGGAACACGAGGGCAAAAAAAGGGAGAGAGAAATTGGGAAGTGCTCCAAAGGTTGTGAAATCCTAAGCGTTGCACAGTGAAGGCAGAAAGGTTTTTGTCTGAACTGTGAGCCATACAAGGCATTGGTGTTCCAGCTTAGGCAGAGGAGCATCCACAGGGAGTGTTCAGGGTGATGGGGTCGGTTGGAAGGAGCAAACAGATTGGCACATCCACCTCATTCATTGCCTCCCACTCACCCACCCACCCACCCACCCACCCACTCACTCACTCACTCACTCACTCACTCACTCACTCACTCACCCACCCACCCACCCACTCACTCACCCACTCACTCACTCACTCACCCACCCACCCACTCACTCACTCACCCACCCACCCACTCACTCACCCACTCACTCACTCACTCACCCACCCACTCACTCACTCACTCACTCACTCACCCACCCACCCACCCACTCACTCACTCACCCACCCACTCACTCACTCACTCACCCACTCACTCACTCACCCACCCACTCACTCACCCACCCACCCACTCACTCACTCACTCACCCACTCACTCACTCACCCACTCACTCACTCACTCACCCAACTTCTCCACCAGTTTGAGCATCACTCCGCCTATGTGCACGTCCCCAGTCACCCGCAGCGACACGTCGCGGCTCATGTCGGTCACCAGGACATTGAGCTCCCACGTCCCGTCCGCGTAACAGCCATCAGGCATCCGAATGCCATCCAGAGCCATTTTCCTCCCACGCACCCACACAGCCCTGCAGAGGAAATCAGATTACATTCAATCAGAGGGGGGAGACGGTGGAGGCGAGAGGGGGGTGGGTGGGGAGGGAGGGGAGGGGGGTGGGGAGGGAGGGGAGGGGGGGTGGGAGGGAGGGGGGTGGGGGGAGGGGAATAATTATTGGGATAATAATTTCTTTTAAGATGCAATGCACTAAGGAAGAGGGGAGAGTGGGAAATGATTCGATGTGCAATTGCTTGTGCAATGCAATCAATACCCGACAGTCGGTCAACGTCAACCTCAGCGATGGCTTCTCGAAATGAGTGGAAAAAACGCTTTAGGACACGCCTGTCTCGTCTGGAACAGTCACTCTCCACGCAGATCTCGCCCCCAACCCCCCCCCCACCCCCCCCCCCCACCCACCCCCCACACACACACACAAACATTAACTTCAGCCCAAATAAAGAGGATTTTTTTTTCTCCCTTTTTTTAAAAAAAGAAACAAGCGATGCAGCCAAAAAAAACTCTCTCTCTCTCCAACACACACTCTCTCTCACACACAGATGATCGTTCACATAAAAGTTGAAATATTTGGATGAGGATAATGGAGATTGAGATCTTTGCACATACTGTACAGTTAAGTACAGAGTAACTGCTCTCCTCCCCCACTCTATGCGTCCGTGTTCCGTTACAAGGCTTCAAATTACAGGATTATAATATTCATGGGAGAGACAGAGAGAGGGAGAGACAGGGACAGGGGGAGAGAGAGAGACAGAGAGAGGGGGAGAGAGAGAGACAGAGAGAGGGAGAGACAGGGACAGGGAGAGGGGGAGAGAGAGAGGGAGACAGAGACAGGGAGAGGGGGAGAGAGAGAGACAGAGAGAGGGGGAGAGAGAGAGGGAGACAGAGACAGGGAGAGGGGGAGAGAGAGAGACAGAGAGAGGGGGAGAGAGAGAAGGAGACAGAGAGAGGGGGAGAGAGAGAAGGAGAGACAGGGAGAGGGATGGAGAGAGGGAAGGAGACAGAGAGAGGGGGAGAGGGAGAGGGAGAGACAGGGAGAGGGGGAGAGAGAGACAGGGAGAGGGGAGAGAGAGAGGGAGAGACAGGGAGAGGGGGAGAGAGAGAGACAGGGAGAGGGGGAGAGAGAGAGGGAGACAGGGAGAGGGGGAGAGAGAGACAGGGAGAGGGGGAGAGAGAGAGGGAGACAGGGAGAGGGGGAGAGAGAGAGGGAGACAGGGAGAGGGGGAGAGAGAGACAGGGAGAGGGGGAGAGAGAGATGGAGACAGAGAGAGGGGGAGAGATGGAGACAGAGAGAGGGAGAGAGAGGCAGAGAGAGGGAGAGAGAGAGACAGAGAGAGGGAGAGACAGAGAGGGATTGGGATGTTTGCTCAGGACCTGTTCAAAATATTTTGTTCAAATCAAAAGAAACCTTCAAAACGTCCCCCCAAAAAATCACTAAGTTTACCGGGGGGGGGGGGGGGGGGGGGACTACACTGTCCAACCGAAAAGGTCGACGTCTTTGAATAAGTGATATTCCCTGTTTTATAACGATTCCAACTAAGTCATACACCAACCCCCCTCCCCCCCACACACATACACACACCCCCACACCCCCCCCACACACATACACCCCCCCAAACACACCAACCACCCTCCCCAAACACACACACATCCCCACACACCCCCCCACACACACACCCCCCCCCCAAACACACACACATTCCCCCCCCACACACACCCACACACATACACCCTCCCAAACACACCAACCACCTTCCCCCCCACACATACACATACCCCCACACACATACACCCTCCCAAACACACCAACCACCCTTCCCCCACACACCCCCCACCCAAACACACATACACCCCCCACACACACACTCCCCCCCACACACACATACACCCCCACACACATATACACCCCCCCCCACACACACACACATATACACCCCCCCCACACACACACTATACACCCCCCCCACACACACACACATATACACCCCCCCCGACACACACACACCCCACACACACACATATACACACACCCCCACACACACATATACACCCCTCCACACACACACACCCACATATACACCCCTCATACACACATACACCACCCCCACATATACAGCCCCACACACACACATATACCCCCCATCACTGCTTGAGTTGAGCAGAAGGACACACACACACACACAGAGCCTCTCTCTCTCTCTCCTCTCCCTCCGCGCTCTCCCCCTGAGCCTCAAATGCAACGGCACAGTTGGCGGTGTTCACAGATCTCCCGCTGCCCCACTTGTCCCGAGTAAGAGCGGGTCCCGGGGGCACAGCTCCTGATCGCAGACTTTCTGCCCCTTTCGGAAAGTGACCCGCGGCTGTTCGCTGGTCCACTGCTGTTGCAGAGAGGAAAATAAAAGCCGTGGACCCTATATATACACATATATATACACACACACATATATACACACACACATATATACATATATACACACACTCTCTCTCTCTCACACTCATTTACCTTCGCTTTAAAGAGGGGGGAAAAAAAGCTGCTTCAAAGGACGGCGCCTGGAGGGTAACAGCAATAGCAGAGGAGGGGGTGAGGGGAGGAGGAGGGGTAGTGGTGGTGGGGGGTGAGGGTGGGGGTGAGGGGGTGAGGGTTGGGGTGGGGGTGAGGGGGAGGGGGTGAGGGTGAGGGGGTGGGGGTGAGGGATGCAATGCACAGGTCTTACTGTTGCAGTGGCAGTGGCTGTGGTGCTGTGTGTGTGGTTCGGGGCTGTGCTAATGGAGTCCTTGTCTCGGCTTTGCTTCTCCTCCGCTCCTCTTCAACCAACGTCACTCTCTCGGACTCGGACTCGCCTTAAAGTCCAATCTGAGCCGCGCCGCCTCTCCCTCCCCTTTCCCTTTCCTTTCCTTTTCCTTTTCCTTCCCTCCTTCCCTCTCCCCTCCTCTCTGCTGCTCACACTCGCCGCTCCATGGTTTGCTTTGATTTTTTTTTGCTTTCCCTCCTCCACCTCTCTCTCTCTCTCTCTTTTGCTCTCACTCACTCCCTCTCTCCCTCTCTCTTTATTTCTCTCTCTCCCTCTCTCTGTCTGACTGTCTGTGTTGAAGGAAAGCGTTTTGCTTTCAACGCTCCTTTTGGGTTGTAATCTCTCTCCCTCTTTTCCTCCCTTCCTCCCTCTTTCTCTCTCTCTCTCTCTCTCTTTTCCTCCCTCTCTCTCTCTTTCCCTCTCTCTCTCTCTCTTTTCCTCTCTCTCTCTCTCTCCCCCCACAAACAACAAAGCCTTTTATGGCAATGCAGAGGGAGAACGAAGAGAAGCAGCGCCACGCATTCGGGCCTCACTCTCCGAAGGGACGGCCACTGGGATCCATCCCGTTATTGTGCAGCAGTTTTTCCCCTCAACCCCAACCATTGGGGTGTGTGTGTGTGTGTGTGTGTTGGGTGCATACGTGTATGTTCACACACACACACACTCACCCACTCACCCACACCCACAGATATATATATATATATATATATATACGGTATAAATATATCTTATTTCACGAATGCTTCTTCCAGACGTCTCCCGAACGCTTCGCGGAATACACCGTTAAAGTGAATTGACTGTATATCTCGCGGGCGCAGACCCGGCAGCAAATCTTGGCCCGCGGCGGGGTCCCCCACGAACAGTGGCGGATTGAGTGACCGCATTTTTTTTTACACACACGGTTATATACACACACACACACATATATGTATATTTGTACATAGAGCACAACAATTTTGCGTTGTGTTTTTTTTCGCGCGCGTATCAAATGCTGCGAAGTTTAGCCATCCCACTATTCCTGTTTCTCCCTCCCCGTCCCCCAAAGGATTGTTGTTATCTTCCCCGCCGAAAAAAAAATCTTAATAAAACACTTTTGTTTCAAGTGTCACCATTTCCTTTCCCGAAATCTGTCGTTTTGGTTTTTTTTTGTTTGCTCGCGACATCGAAGTAGAGCCAAGGTGCCTGAAATGCAAGTTCAGTTCTCGCTCAAAGCTTCAAAGCAGCGTACACTACACGACAGGGAAAGATTGCAGTTTGATTACCATGAAATACCCGAGGCTCGGGAATCGATTATTCACCTGGCACCTGGAGGCTGAAAATATAATAATAATAATAATAATAATCCTTGTATTTGATATAGCGCCTTATCACGTCTCCGAGACGTCTCAAAGAGCTTCAGAAAATACACTGTAAAGTAAAATATACTGTAAAGTGACTGTATATTTTGTGGGCGAAACGCGGCAGATAAAATTGTGCATAGCAGTGTCCCACAAACAACTCGTGGATTGAGCGATCATTTTTTTAATATATAGATCACAACAATTTTGCATCGTGTTTTTTTCACATGTATCAAAATGCTGCGAAACTGAGCAATCGCGTCCACTTACAATTATGTTGTTTTCATCATTCACTATTTTGGCACCTTCTCTGCATAAAATGAACAGGTTTAGGTGATAGATTGGTGAGATCAATCCTAACATTTCATCTTCTTGTGTAGTTGCCTATTATGTAGTCCAGTTTGACTCTTTTTTTCAAAGATAATTTGCTTGTGAAAGTTAGACTACTTTCCAACCACAGGGATAAAGATGATGGTTAGGTTGTTACGTTATGGATACTTTTGAATCAAAACAGCCTTTTTTTTTTGCGATGCTCATGTCTGCCACGCTGGAAAAACTAATTTATTTTTACCCTTAAAAAATGTAACAAAACAGCCTTGCACAAACTAAACATCATAACATGTGGATGGCTAAAGAATAGGAATAAACAATAGTGGGCAATGAGTAAGAATAACAATAATAGCTAAAGAATACAAATAACAATCATAAGAATCATAACAACAATATTTTAAGAATAGGAATAACAATAATAACTAAAGAAAAAGAATAAAAACGTAAAAGCTGAGACGGAGACCAATTCTCTAAGAACTACCGGAGTCTACTCAGTGAGTAGTTTCTCATTTTTGAGCATCATTTTTCCTTTGTTGCCATTTTTCCTCGTTTTGTTGGAAGCCAAAGTATTTCTTTTACTTTACCGAAATGTTACCTTTACGTAAGAGTGAATGAGGGGTTCCACCTAATAATAATAATCATAATCCTTATATTTGGTATAGCTGCATTCACATTGTCAAAATGTTTCACAGGATATAATGGAAAGTTGAATTGCTTTCTCCTGTTCCTATGAATATAAAATCACATATTGAATTGCAGACTGTACCACAACAGGTCATTCTGCTTAAGTGGTCCATGCTGGTTTTTATTATCCACATGAGCCAACACCCATTCTAATCCCCTCCCTTTCCCTTCTGTTCCCTTATCCTTCTTGTATGCATGTATGTGTATATATATATATATTTTTTTCTAAATAATATTTTAGCCTCATTCTTTTATTATATATTGGCAAAGCAAATTGTCATAATGAGCAACCACATGATTACCCTTTCTTATGTGCATTAATCACTTTATATTTAAGTACAGTTTGAAATGATTAACTCTATGCAAATCCCTTTTATCTGATTACATTTAGTCCCACTGGATTTTGTTTACACAAGAGCTACAGGTGGTGTTCAGAAATCCTAGCCCAGGACTGCTATTGCAAGAAAGGTAATAAATGGGATTTGGGTCATTTAGGATTGAAGCCTGAATGGGTTTGGACAGTCAAATTGAAAAGTCTAATAAAACCTGATATGATGAACACCGAAAGTGTGCTTTCATTTTTTTTTGCTTGTACAATTTGATCACTATTTTTTGTTACAAAAATGTTCTAACCTTCTTAACAATTTACATTAAATCTAGTTGATACAGAAGAACATATTTTCAATAGTTTTCACAAAAAAAATCACTGAAGGGATTTAATTATTTTGTGTAAAAAAATACTTAAGACAATGCAATGCAGCATGTAGAAATAAGCTGTAACACTAACAGCTCTGGACTAATGCTGTCATCTAGTGGTGATTGTTAGAATGTAAACTTCTGATTAGTTCAGGAGAAGGTTTTTTTGCACAATTTGAGGATCTATTAATGTTCATCTTCATATAAAAATATTACCAGCCCGAGTCCTCTAGAACAGCCAAATAAAAACAGCCATTTCAGTTACTGAGGCAAATGACTTGACATACAAACCACATATCATTTAATTAAGTATATTGTGGAGTTTAATTCTTTTGAGACGTCCACGCGATGTGAAAGGAACTACATAAATGTAAATTGTATTGGATTCAGCCCCAAGTTGGATGGTCTAGGCTGACATTTTGATTCACTGCTGGAGGAGTATTGCACTGTTGGAGACATTAAACTAAGGCCCCGTCCGCAGTTCTAAGGAGATGTTGAAGATCTCATGGCATTATTCAAAAAGGAAAAGGAGTTCTCCTGGGAATTGTCCTGGCTGACAAACCCCAAATAAAGTTGGCTATTTACTTCAATAGCTATTTGTGAGACATTGCTGCAAACAATGTGACTGCTACATTTGCCTACAAATACACAATCATGACACTTTACAGTAAAATCCTGTGAAGTGCTTGAAAATGTTTTGATGATAGGATAAAGCAAGGATTATTATCTTCTTCAAATAATCAAAAGTGCACCATAAGAAGTTATTCTGTTCATCGAGCCAAGCTTATAATAGCTCATGCACTGTAGCTAACTATAATCTCCCTGTTCTTTTAACTATTTTTTATTCAGTAATAGCTAGAAAGAGTGCTCATATAAACAACTTAACTGAAAGTAAGCCTTTTCTAGTCTAATTTATGTTGAGTGTGCTGTCCTGCAGATCCCAAACAACATGCACAACTTACACAAAGTTGAATCGTTGGCATTTGATCCACAATTACAATAATAATATTCACAAGAATGCTATAATTTGCGTGTTCTAAAGAAGTTTTATGAAAAACGGACAATATTTCAAAACAGTCAACCACGTTCAAATTGTTAAATTTGACATTTTCTCTAAGCTATTAAATGGCGGGATCCAAACTGAAACGAGCAATTTCTCGTCAATTTAGACCATGACCTTTAATGATCTTTGTTTTTTTAAAAAAATTCTTTCACCAGTATGAAGCAACTTTGGTAGGTGTTTACTTTCCCTGTGCTCAGGTCAACATTTGCAGCTCATTGCATTAACCCGTTCATATAGCAAATCTATTTTTGTAGCTCAGGAAGGAAATGTACGATTCCAAACTTAAGCAGGATCTTTGGATGAAACGTACGTACTGCTAGTTTTCCAGCCAGCTCAAAAGCATTCAGTAATTAGTGCATACAACTCACTTACTGTTTACATCATAACAAGCACCGAGCCCTATCTGACTGGATAGAGGGCAGATTATAAATGGTTAAAACTGGAGAAAACAATTCCTACTCGTGTGCATGGCACAAACTGGTCTGTTTTTTTTTAAAAAAACAAAGGTGAATGACTACACGAAAGTGTCCTTTGCAAGGCAAATGGAAGAGAAACCTATGTGAGTCGGAGTAAAAGTCAATACGTTAAGTTCTTAGATCTGCTCAACATTCCCATAGATGTAAAGGAATTTTGCAAACTGAATCAGAAACAAAAGTATAAATGAAATGAGTGTTATACGGTTTGAAGGTCGTCAGAGGAAGTTTTGAAATGTTACAGTCTTTGTGTTACGAATTGAGTTATTTTGAGGTGAAAACAGCCATCAGTGGTGAGATGTTTTTGAGATTACATAAAAAAATCAAACACATAGTTGTGTAAAACCATCAGGACTTTTATTTGTAGAACAAAAACTGATACCAAAACAAAGCACCAGGAAAATGAATCAGTGCAGCTCCTCCTGAACTACATCAGTGCAGCTTTTTTCGCTCTGTTATCACAGAATAAAAAAAACCTAATTTAAATGGATTTATACATGGATCACAAATAAACTGAACGTGAATCAAATGTTAGTGTAAAAAAAAGTAATAATTAGTGGTACCGTATTAAATTATAAACACTGAAAATAAGTTTCTATACTTCGAGCATGTAAACAGTTTATTGTTAATAACATTGCCCAATTGTACAATAATGCAAGACTTTTAAAATGTAGAACTATTTCGGCAGTATAAAGTGCAAACTATGTCAGCATTCGCAGTGGGTTACACTCCTAGTTGAAAATCAATCTTGAAGTATTTATATAGCTTGCACAGGTTTGAAAAATAAATAAAAAATAAATTACAAATAGGTCTGAAAGTTTACGGTTGCACATTATTAAGTGTTAATTAGTTATTAACAGAACAGTTGGTTAGAACTTTAATAAAATACTTCATGTATCTGAAATATAGTTAATCACAATTTTAAGGAGTGTAGGAAAGAAAAAATGGTCGTGACTAGTCAAGTTTGACTATTCCATCTAGAAATAGGACAATCATATTTCTCCAGTTGTCGTTGTGGACCCTAGAACACGAACCAAGCGGCATTCCTGGCTTTACATTGCACTTAAAGCAGCAGTACCAACAGTCTCTCTGTACAGTTCTCCATGTGAACACAGTGCCTCCTCCTTTAAAAAAATATCAGGGAGTGGAGGGTTGTGTCAGTTTTCAGATAGAATATTATTTTCTTCATTTCCAGGTACTTCCTTTGTGTATAGAAATGAAAGAAGGAATAGGGCAACATCTAGAGACGACCAATAAGCAGTGTGTGAGGTTACTGCAGACCAATATCTGCTTTCTACAAGGCCCTCCCGCAATTCAAAATCAATCCGGTGCTCAAGTTCTACTGAAGGAAGAGAATAGAAATGATTACATTATTATTACAAGTTTTGGGCGAGAAGAAAAGTTTCAATGTTACAATATTTCTAGAGTTTTTTTTGAATCACAAACATTAAATAATGTACATACAGTTTATGCATGAAATTAAAACATAACGTACAATCATTTGTTTTAAAGCTTCAACAACAACAACTTGGATTTGTATAGTGCCCTCCATGCTGGACGGCGTCTCAGAGCGCTTTACAGTTTAGGATCCCGGGACTGAGCCTGGGGGAGGGGTGGGAAGGCGACCAAAGGCACGGTCAAAAAGAAAGGTCTTCAGCAGAGACCTGAAAATGGGAAGTCTGTTTCCTCAATTTTCCAGCTTCTGCAATTTACCCAAACGGATGAAAAACAATAATTGCTGTTCATATGGACAGATATAAATTAGTCCTGGGTCCAAATTAATCCACTTTAGGAGGTGGTCTTAAGGCAGAATTACGTTTCCTGTCTAAAGTTCAGCCAATATGAGTCGGCAGTGCAAAATATCATTAGAACTATAGGACAAAATTAACCCTTTTAAATGTTTCCAGCTCACAGAAAATCTAATGAACAATATTTGGGAATTGAAGACTTACGTGCACCATCCAAAAGGTAAGAATTATTGCGTGATAAATTATGCATGAATGGACTGCTTTGATTGTCTGTTGTCTTCTTTTCTTCTCCATCTGTTCCTTCCTTCATTATAGACTCGGAGTTGATTTGAGCAGTGCTAGCACCAGAGCGTGTGAATCTTGCAAACAGTATTCCACCAATACCTTTGCCTATGTGTGCAGCTCCTGACAAACAAAGGACGGGAATTAGGTAAAGCTGGAAAGATATTCATAATGCTTACATGCAAAATCTGCATAAAAAGCCTAAAAGACTATTAAGAAGAGTTTTTTTTATAGTGATGATTATCACTGTGTGTGCCAGGGAAATGCAAAGCAGCTTGTAGAATATTTTGATTGTTAAACCCCATCAATGGTTTCAGAATTAATGTTTAAAGCGAATGTTCCAAAACACATCATCAGTCTTGCATGATGAACCGGATCGAAAGAGGAAATATCAGATCCACAGAATAAAGGTGAAGCATAGCACTATGTATCGCAAAGCATCTTAATGCCAAACTAATCTGTTTAGATATCTAGCCTGTTGCTGCCATAAATGATCTGAACTACCCATTTCAAAGTGTGCTCTGGATCCAAGATGCTCTGAGGTGCTTTGGAGAGTCTGTGAAGTAAATTGGCTGGTGGATTCCTTTGCTGAATTCCAGGAGTGTAAAATAAATCTCACGTCCAATTTAGTGGGACAAGTTTACGAATTAAAATTTTTCTTTGAACAAAAAATCCTTAAGGACAGAATTTTAATATTTATTTCATCTTGTAAAATCATCAGGATAAAGAGGAGCAGCAATAGCAGTAGCAAAGAAAGCAAACAAGATTTTAGGATGCCTCAGGAATTTGTGGTAAATGTCATAGGAATTAATGGTGGGTTTGTAGAATGCACTAGTCTTATCCCACTAGAGTAGTGTCCATTTCTGATATTTAGCATAGATATTCTGGTGACAGGGTGGTGCTGGACAATTATACTGAGATATGGCATTAGATAACTGAGCTATTGAGAATCTGGGAATGTTTACACTATAGAAAAGAAAATCAAGAGGTTATATTATTGCAGTTTTCTAGATGCTTTTCAGATAAGTTGAATTCCAATAATATGAACTCTTCATGATATCAAAGACCAAAATAAAGTGTCAAAGTTGTAAACTCAGTAGAGAAGTGAAGAGTTTAGACTCTGCTGCTGTATACACAGTCAAACAGATTTTTTAAGGAGGAAGATAGACATGACCATTTCAATGGGGAATTACTGATACGGTTTTACAATTCTTTTATTTGAAACCTCGTGAAAATCTCTCCAAAAATCTAACTAAACTGCAGGATATATTATGAAGATTTCAAGGTGCTGCAGGATTGAGGCGAGTGCTTTTTCTATGCAGGACAGAGCACTACTAAATTCAGGTTACTTGATGCAGATCAGAAGCTGTGGGTTTACCTGTTTTAAAGCTCTCAACGTTGATTGTAAGAAAAAGAAGTGGTTGGTAAATCAAATGTAGTAATTTACAGTACAAAAAAAACCTGGTTGACTGAAATTACATTCTATCACAAGAACAAACTGACTTAAGGTGCCCTACTGTTTTTTTTTAAAAAATTCAATTAATCTATTGTAATCATTCAGGATAGCTGTTGTATAATTATATTAAACAATGCACACAAGATTAGTGCGTCTGCGTCAGGAAATACTAACTCCAAGTGTAGGCCAATTTCACATTTAAATGTTTTTTGTCTCCGTTCTTTCCAACAAAACAGTGAGGTATATTTTACAAAACAAAAAAGAGTCAATAATTTTAATACTCAAACAAGTCAGACCGCTCCTTAACATTTGGATCATTTTATTTGAATAGTTTCTCAATCCCAAACTGCAAAGACTCTAGTTTTATTGCCACCTAGTGGACAAACAATTTGACAGTGGCACAGAGCCGTGCTACACGATTTGAGTAACATTTTAGATATTCTCGCTAGTAATTAACATCATTTGCACACAGATGTTTAAAAGGTTGTACCTAATTTCTGTACATGAAGTTCATATTCCACAGTCCATGGATAAATCTTAAATCTAAAAAAGAACTAGTTCTATGTAAAGTTATGTGGAATACTTACCATTTCAAAGGGGCTCAGTTTATGTATGCAGAATCCAGTATAGAATTTTAAAAAAAATTGCCACACTGTGGACAGGCAGAAAGGCAGCAGTTATGTCACAAGATTTTCATGAGACAACTGCAAGAGACACTGCCCACGCGATATCCCATTTAGCAAACATCTTGCATATGTGATTAAGACTTGGCAAAGGCAAGCACTCAGTATTTTCTGCTGTACATTTTCTTAAATATACTTAACTTGCATTTACATTGCACCTTTCAAATTAAAAATAAACATGTCAAAGTACTTGGCAAACATTTAATTAATTGGAAATGTCTGTGCCACAAACAATGAGAGAAGCACAGCCAATTACTTTGAATTTGGGGATAAATTTGGATTAGGAGGAGACTATAAAACAGGATAATGGGAAAGACGGGATATCCATCTTTTCGATACTGTATAGCCAATGTGTATCTGTGGGTGAAACGTACACTACTTAGAGAATGATCACCAAAAGCACAGTGAAAACAAGAATGCCTTTACGAAACCTATGTTATAAATTAAATTTACTCATTCTGTGCTCTCCAATGCACAACTATTTAAAACAGCTGGAAAAAAAAAAGACGTGCAGACATACACATACAATTCTCGTTTCTCACCCATTATGCTTGCTTTCCCTAGGCTTGTTATTGAATCCCCATAATGTCGTCGAGACAAGACAGGTGAGGTGCTTGGACTGGCTACGTTTTCCACTTCTGTAATTGAGGTAGTTGCCGAGACGGTCACTGACTCTTTGGCTGGTTTGATGTAGACTGGCTTAACCTCGTCATAGGCTGCTAAGACACCTGTGTTGTACCAATGAATCTGGAGGGGTGCAATATTACTGTAATGTTTCAGGATCAGGGGTTCAAGTCGGTAGGCCTACATGTAAATCAAGATAGAACATCACACCAGTCAAGTCAAGTCTCATGCTCCGGCGGGTTGAAGGTTGACTTCTTTTTAACGCTTTGCACATACAATAAAGTGGTGAAACATCAAGACAATCCACTGACATAGAAAAAAGTTCTGCTGAACGTTGAACAGTTATGCCCCATAAGATTTTGAAAAGTCTTTAGTTGTACAACAAGGGCACTTTAAAAAAACTGAACAATTTTACACTCCCTGAGTAAAACCATTTCACTCTAAGGATTGAAGGATTTTTTTTAATATAGTCTGTCAATATTTTAGATGCCTGACCCAGCAGTATTCATCTCCAACCTCAGAACTGTACACTCACTGTGCCCTAAAGTGTGAATTTATTCAAACCAGGCATTTTTGAATGAGACTCGCAATTTATGCTAAATTATGGCTATTTTATTCCTATGGACTTGTGTCTGGTGGAACCTAGATTAACAGAGGCATCATTGTTTCACTCTAAAAAGTTCCAGTCACGAGGCTAGTCAAATGATTACTTCACAGTTCAAGACATTACATAAAGTTTAAGGCACTCTGAAATGAAGACTTACCACAGGGTCAGTTGGGTGAAATATATTGAACAAGCGTTTACAGATACTTTTTGGTAGGATGTGATCCTGAGTATTACTGCTTTGAGGACGTATGCCACGCAATGCTAGGAAAACAGCTAGAGGGGAGCCCATGCAGAAGAAATTTTCAACCTGGAAGGACAGAAAATAGAAAATCTGGATTTGATGAAATAGAATTTGAAGTTCTACCTTTTCCCCATACTGCTTCACATTATTTTTCAAACATTGGCCTAAAAGCCATTATGGATTCTACTTCAACCAGTTTTTGGTTGGACATTCCATGTCCTAATAACCCTCTATGTAAACAAAATTCTCCTGACGCTTATTTTAGTGTAGAGTAAGCATGTTTGTTCTAATTAGCTAGAAGCAAATGGCTTTGATGACATCAAGAAGATTTCAAAGTGAATCTTGTGCCTTGGCCAAGCAATTAAGCCAAGGATCGTGAACTCGAGGAATCATCATTACATGTTGTGTGGCTGCTTAACAGAATCTCATTATTTAGTAAGTAAGCAATAGAAGGCGAAAAAGACGAAAGAAGACAGGTTGTTTAGGACTGTGCACCTAACATATGGTCGGAGAACTAAGCTCTTTGGAGACATGCTTATCTTGATCACTGTAGTTAAATTCTACTGCTTAAATGTATATTTAGCTCACAATTGTTTTTGGTGCACTGTACATAAACTTGGTACTTTAGACTACAAACTGCTAGTCTGTGTGATAGTATCTAGCTTTACAAGACTTGGTAGTTAATGAATCCATTGTTCATCCAACATCACGTGTCCTCTTGAAAGTCAGAATGCAGACACAGAATAGTCTTTCGGGGGGTGGGGGACTAAGATAATAGTTCTAGTTCCTCTTTCATTGGAAAGAAGAACTAGAAATTCTGTTTATGGCATCTATTATAAGGGATTTGCAGAAGAAACAGTGCAATCCACCCACCCCCACAACTGCAAATTGTAAAATTCCTGCATGTTTATTTAATGGCATGAGCAATTTTGATCAAGGCAGAAGGCTTGCAATAAAGTGAAAGTAAGCAGTCTCTTCTTTTGTGCAGATGTTTCCTCTTTGAAGAAAGCTAACTGCAAGAGGAAGATCAATTATCTGACTGGTCCTCAACTTTTATCAATTTGGAGGACTTCTTTCCTGCATCAATGTTTGACATCTTGGCTTGGATAAGGGAAAACGCATTAATGTTTCACTTCATCTGAAAACCAAAATTCACCAGAGATGAAATTACAGAATAGGAAAATCTGGAGCCAGTGTCCATCAATGAATTTTTTGGCAGTTCTGACAAAATTCAAGATCTGTTTTAAGTTTTAAGAAATCAAGATTATCTTTAGTATACTGAGACAGACTATGTTGTCCACTAAAACTCCTGCATATCTTTGAGAAAATACTGTTATATTTTCCAAGGTGGGGGGGTGTAAGAGATTTAAATTAATAAAGGAAAGGGATTAAGATTTGTCTAAATTTTAGGATCAAATGGACTGTAGTTCCAGATAAGCTGAAATTAGATTAGAAGATCAGCCATGATTGAATGGCGGGGCAGACTCAAAGGGCCTAAATGTTGTTATGTTATGATGCAAATAGTGTACTTTTAAACTCACGTTAAATTGCAAAGCAGGTGGTTTCAATGGGGATGAGGCTTTCACTTGCGCTAATTGTTGTTCCAATTTTTTTAATCTGCAAAATTAAATTGAAACATCAGTGAATATCTTTTTTTTAAAAATATTCTAAAATCTATGTTCCTTTCTGGCTCAAACAGCATGTGTACTTCATGTAAATGTGGTCATTTTTAATTCACGTTCTTAACAGGAGTACTGAAATGCTTTCGGACCCATTTTATTTATCCATGGAACTGAAGATCTCAGATGATCATTTCAATTCACCACCAAGGCTCAAAAAGTAGCAGAGAAATAAGATACGTCAAGTGAATACATGATGCTAAAAGACAACTTGAAATGTTTATTGATTTAGGCAGGAAAGAATAAGCGAAACAGAGTTGAGGTCTAAGGAGAGACTGAGAGCAATGAATATTTACTTCAACAGTGAGAATGAAAAGATGAAGAGCTTGTGAAAGTTTATGTGAACTCAGGGAGAAACAAGAGTGAATCAATCCATATAACAGAGGGTGAGAGAGAGGGAGAGGATAATAATAATAATTCTTGCATTTGATATAGCGCCTTCTCACGTCTTCGAGATATCTCAAAACACTTCACAGAATATAACTGTAAAGTGAATTGACTATATTTTGTGGGCAAGGAAGGAAGGAATCTCCTATCACAAGAACCTTTTCTTGTACTTTGCTCAACATAAGAAGAATATTCAGAACAGAGGTTAGGAATACTATTGTAAAAATGCTTTGTAAAATGACTCATTACTAATATATTACATAAGAAATTCAAATGATCTCAATGAACCTGTTAAACTAGGCCACATCGTATTTACCATTCTCTATGAAACCTAACAACTTACATTTAGGTAATGTTAACGTAAAAGAACATGTCAAAGAGCTTACCGCCGCTTAGTCTTCAGTATTTCATCCAGGAGCTGACGTTCCTCAAAACTCATAGGACTTTCAGTTGTTTCTTCTTCATCATGAATCATTTGGTCATAAAAGCGAACTGGGTGCCATCCAGTCATGATATCATAAGTGATGACACAGCCTAGTGAATGGGCCGCTATGGAAACCTTCCCACCATTGACTTCAAAATCTGGGTTCCGAGAACAGAAAAGGGTATACAACCGATTTAGCTCCCACTGAAGGCCTTTCACAATCTGAGATGAGTAGGGGAACAAAAAACAAAATGTATAATGATCCGACGGGCTCTCATTACAGTATAGACAGAGTTGAGAGGAGAGGGGGGGGTGGGTAGACAGACTTCACAGCAGCTTTATGAATATACACGTGTAATCTTTCCCTAATAACAAATATGGATCATTCTGAAGACACAAGTAGATAAATCCAATTCAATTCAATAAATTTGTTGTAAAAAGCAATTCAATCAAATAAAGATAGAAATGCATCAGTAATGGCAACTTGATCTGAAATAATGAGTGAAATAAGTTCAAAGGAGTTTAACAATTTAATCAATTTGTCCAACCGTTGTTCAAAACATTGGTGCCTTTACAACTTTACTCAATTAGAACTGAATGACCACCATCAAAAGACCAGATAAAGCATTTCTGTGTGACACATATTCCACGACACATTCAGTTCAAATGGATTGCATATTGAGACAGAATATATGTTCTGACAATCAACCGCACTGCAGTTGTCAACTTATTTGGGATATGTACTACACCAGAATAAATTCTACACCAGATTCCACATTGGCAAAGTCAGTTTATTTTTGATCAAAGAGATTTAAGCCACTGGCGGTATTAATACATCTGTTCCTATTAGGCTTGGCTGACACACTGACAAGCAATGTCACAGCCATTCAAACATTAGAAAGCAGTCGTAATACCCATCCCAAAACATTCTGCATCAGAATCTCATTCCTTCTCACACCCATTGAGTATTAAAGTGGGTCAAAATGGGCGGGTACTTATTTCCTTAGGTTCTTTATAATCCCAATTCCCACTCCGTACTGCCCAACTCTGAGCGTCAGCCCAATGCCTAGTTCTCAGTTGAGTCAAAGCACAAAACCCAACTGTCAACATTCATCATGCCAAATCTGGATCAGTCAATGAGGAAAGTGGATTTGGCCCATATATAACTGGGCACCCTCTGCTGTGCAGCTGCATCTAAATGAACTAACATTTTAATTTAAACCCAAGTAGTAGCTATCATGTTTTAGATAAAACTCTCAAACCTCACCTTTGTAACAAATGTTACTGCCTAAAATGTGACTCTACAAAACTGTGATGCATAGAGGTGCAGGTGTTTCAGCTTTGTTTTTAACTGGTTGTGCTGTATCCAATTGCATCTTCACCATGTGTGGAATAGAATGCAATAGTAATGGATATTCTCGTGTGTGGACAAGGCAACAAAACATCAAAGGAAAGACTGTATATTGAAGGACAGAGTACATACAGAAATGTTACAGCCCACTGACAAATGTGGTTCAGTGTATTATGATCTGAATGTGCAACAGAGGGGAGTGTGGGTCACAGTTAGGAATACACAATGCCATGCATTGTTTTCTGAAACCTGTTGTAAATATGAAACTAGACCAAGGTTTCCAAAACTTTTTCATATGAAGGATATTGGTGCTTTTTCGATATTCTTTGTGCCTTTTGAGGAAATCAAGAGCTGCCTAACTGGTAGAAGCAGAATTTCCAGTACGAGATGAGGGAAAAGAGTTGCCGGTTTTCAATCTATACTTAAATTTTTGAAGGACAGCATTGGTATTATTTTCCACTTTTTAGGAATCTTTGACTCTAAAGGTTACACCGACACCACTTCCTGTGCAAAACAATCACAACTCAATAACAGCATTCCTTCACTTGAATAGCAAATTCTGAGCAGAATCAAAATGAAGCATGGACTAGGGCTAAGAACTTAATGTGGACACCGAGTGGTTGCATTGCTACTTTGCTCCCTGAATTCAAAGGGAGAAGGAAAGGGCTGGAGTAAGCATTTCCATCTTCATATGTATGAATTAAAGCAGCTTCAACTAATTACTTAAAGGCTGATCGCTGAGTTAAGTTTGAGGAAAGGGCCCTTAGCTAAAACATTAAAGAAAGATTTCACTTTATACCCAAGAAGTGGAATTTGTTGAAAGGTCATATGTTTGCTTCTCGTTTTTACAAAATTTCTTTTGGCTACCTCAGACTGGAGCATCTGCTTTTCAAGCTGTGTATGAATGGGTTAACCAAATGCACAGTCATGGTACAAGGGAACACAAAGGCACTAGTTGTGCTCATAACACAGATTACTGTATCCAGTACTTGGCAAAAAGGCAGAAAAGTAACAGTACATTAGGGAAAGGAGACCTCCCCTCCCTCAGATAAAAGACAGTACTTATAGTTAAAATAAAAGCTTTCTTTACTTTTAATCAGCAACAGCAGGGCAGGACAGAAACATAAAAGAGCTTAAGTTGACAATGTAAAAGAGAAGAAGGAAATGCTCTTGAATAAAATGAGTCGGGAGATTCAGCTTGGTAATGGCTCAAAAGAACAAATTTCTAAGTAACAGTTACCACTGCAATTTTCTGTTTGAATGGCTTAACATGGACAGCAATAATTAATGAAAAGCTTTGTTTATTATGTTTCCATAGAAGTCTGCATTCTTAAGATTGTTCATTAAGTAAATTTAAGTTTGTTTATTACTTCACACTCTAGTCACTATTAACTTCATATTTCCATCCAGAGCTCACTGTAAATTATAAATGCCAAGAATCAAGAAAATGAAAATTTGAGTGTGAAACTTGAATATTTCCCCAGTGTTATGTACTTTATGTAATATCTTGTTCAGCACGTACCACTGATAAGTTCATGCATTGTTGAGATTCCTTTGAGGGTCTTTAGTGCATATGGCACCAGTTAAACACTAAGCTCTATAGGTAGTACAGAAGTACTGATGTTGATTTCCAGTTGATGCTGGGTTACTTGATTTTAGCTACACCATCAATTGACCTAACCCCTAAACCAGGGGAAGAGGTAAAAAACATCAGGACTAGGATTCCTACTCACTAACCCATTAGCTATGCTGGAAAGTGTACGTGTGTGGGAGGACTGGGCTCAGGCTGTAATATTTCCACAGTCACAAAGCTTTCCAACACTTAGCATCTTGACTTACTTGGACGAATTACTGAAACCATCCCCTAGCAAGAGCCAATGAGTGCAAGACGAAAGGGGAAGGGAGAGAAACCCAAACCAGCTTCATTATGTGCACCAAAAGGATAACTTACCTCATCCCTGTAGAGGGGACTGGTGTAGTACATGATGTCCATGGCACTGCTGTTTAATATGTCTCGCAGACCACGGATTTTGTCAGGTGTAATACTTTCAACAATATCTAGAAAATTAACATTTTAATTCTTTCAGAAACACAGCCACTTTAAAAAAACACTGCACAAATATATTATGTGAACATTTGCTCCACTTCTGAACCTTCCTACAAATGACAGCCTTGAGGTGAGTGGGTATGCAGTTTAAGAACAATTTGGACCCAGTAAAAGAAACACAGCAGTGAATTTGGCAGCCCTATACTGTACTTTCCCTAGCTACTGGAAAAGCACTCATTGCCAAAAAGCGACAACTCTGATGCTGCGTAAAAAAATCCTCCCTGTAATAAAAGATGTTGTATTGTATTCTGCGTTCTTTTAAGTGGGATTCTATAAATCTGTTTTCTACATGTATGTATGTTCTGTAAAAACAAACTGTATGGTGTTTCTAGAAATCCCAACGAGTACATTTGTTTCCCATTTTAAAATCTCTATCAACAACAACAACAAAATTACATTTGTATAGCGCCTTTCAAGTCAGGGGGACGTTCCAAGCTGGTGGACAGTCAGTGTCAATTATTACCCAACTAAGGAACCCATCTCCCTGCTTATTTATTGTGATATTTTTGATATAAATAAGAAAAACATTTAAACATTTGTGTTTCAACAGTTAAAACATTCGGCATTAAAAATATTACCCAACGTCATAGAATTTTTAATCATCCGAATTTTGATAGGCCTTCAAACATTCGAAGATTCAGTAACACATTCACATAAATTTCATTAAACCCAATCCCACAAGAAGACATTATCTAACAATGCCCATGTTTACATTTATTTACCCCCATCCAGGCTGAGCTTTGATCTCCACTCCACTGGCAAAAACTCAACATATTCCAATTGCGTACTGAGGGCAAAATGCTTCTCTTCAATCTTCCTCGCAGCATCTCTCATCCTGCAAAGGAAGAGACATAAACAATTATCCAATAGTTTTTAAGCTTCATAACCATTTGTTACCCAAATATTTGACTACATTTGTTTTCAAAAGTGATTGCCCGTATGTATATCAGGGAACCACCAGCAACAAGTTGGCATAGGCTTGGGACCAGAAGCTGATTGTACACATAACTCACGCCAAGTGATAATACTTAGATATTCCAAGTGGACAAAATTATAAACACATAATTATGGCTTTGTATTACAGTAATCTTCCACCATATTACAAAGAAATAATCATTATATATGAATAGTTTATTATTATATAGCAGTTGGTTTCTCTGACATGGTAAAACAAATAACTATACTAAGCAATTCAAGCAATGGCCCAAAGGTTCACTTTCTATATTTACGTTCTTACTCACTCTCGTAAAATGATTACATTCCTCATTAGTGGGAGAGCTTTTCTATTTAAAATAGATTAGTCATGTGAACATTTCAACAGTGTTAATACATGCTCAGCCTGAGTTTGTTTCATTCAGTGCATTGAATTATCATAATGCTCTGTAAATAAATACTAAAAACAGAACCATTGGGGCGCAAAATGTGCATAACCTAGCACTTTCGCAGGTCCACATCCAACATGAAGCTTTTAAAGCTGGACTCCACCCAAATAACATTTTTTACAGTCACATGTGCTCAAAGATTGCTTAGGGTTAGAGATTAGAGCTATAATTAAAACTGCTATTTTCTACCTTCCCTATAACCTCTCCAGCCTCCCTCCATGCTGGATTAACCAACTGCTACAAGAAGACAGCAATTTTCTGCAATAATTAAGTCTTCAGAGAAAGTAAAATGTCACATTGTTAAAAGGAAAGTGACAAATTTGTTCTGGAATATCGCTGTCTTGGTTTTCAGTAAATAATCATACTTCTGTGAAGAAAAATAATTACATTTAGGTATACGTACAAGCATTGGATCACATGCTTGTAAAAGCAGTTAACTCATATTCTTGCGCTATACAAAAATAGTTTCATTTTTCTGCTGAATTCACACTGTAATATTATGAATAAAAATGTGAATATTTCAGTTGCAGAAGGCCCACGATGGAATAAATCTCCACTTATGGCATGAATGCAACATATTTATGAGCAGACTCTCGTGGAAATAATATACAACGTTGATGCCTCCGAACTATCCTCCAATAATATCAATGCCCAGGCAAACATATACATGTCAATGCATGAAGTGGGAATTTATACAACTCTGAGTAGTCATTTTATAGACGTTCACAGTAATCCATCGAATCACTGGCATTCTAGAAACCAGCAAAACAAGATTAGCAAATCAGTGGGTGAGAGGATTACAGCTACCAGGGTTCAAAAAAAAGATTTCCAATTTTAGATAGAATTCCACAGTGCAAATCTTAATTCAGAATGAGGTACTGTCCTTATTTGCAGGCTTTTATTAGCAACCACATGTTGCTGTGCTATATTTTGAGGAAAACACACCAGGTACCACAGTGGAAGGAAGTAATGTGGCATCGCAGTTAGAATTAAACTGTTGACCGTTCTAAGAACTAAAATAGATTGTGATCCTTTCCCCATCTCCCACGTTTCAAGGTTGCTTTCAGCTACTAACAAGTACGTCTGTTTTTATGGTACTAGCAGGACAAGAATACACCACTTTAGTGGTCTTCACCTTGTTAAGTTTGTTGAGCCTCTAAACATTTAAGGAATGCCACATGTTACAATGAAAGAGGGCCAGGTTAAAAGAAGGTCATTTCTGCCAAGAAACCATATTTGATGCTGACTGGTTTCATTGGCTGTAAATCTCTTGCTGGATTTTACTATTTATGACTGACAGATACTCAACAATACTGCAAGCAGCAACTATAAATAAACAATGACATTTAAATTTAATGTCAGAATTATGAGCTGCGCACCATAATGAAAGTCACACAAGCTCAGCCACAGAGTAAGATTATCAGAGGCCATCCTTTCTCTATGGAATAGTATTCCAGTAAAAGATAAAACCTTCAGCAGAATTGAAGAATCTGGAAGTGGAGGTGTATTTTATGGACTATAATGTCTTTCACACAGCAACATGCATTTGTATACAAACAGTGATATACATTTATGTGCAGACAAAGATTGAAAGGTTCTAATTATTGCTTAAATTGTTCATGACAAGCATTTTGGAACACTTGGTGATGTGACGGTCTAGATTTTTAGGAGGTAAACAATGACTATTACTCAGCTATCCATGTGCAGCTGGACCAGTCACACAATTGGCAATTTAAATGATCTCATCCCTTCGCAATTGCACATTTCTAAAGCCTAATAGAACAAATGCACATTTTTCTTCATTGAAAGGAATAGCGACCTTGAACTCGTACGATCAGGAAATGACACGAGTCCAAAATGACGTTACTTGGAATTACCCTGTAAACTTTTATGTTAGCCGATCTCCAAAGTTGACGATACAATGCATTCATTACCAATGTTGCTCATCCCAGCGCCTTGGGACATCCTCCTGACGTGAAAGGTACTATACAAATATAATTCTGTATTGTATTTCTACACAGAAATATTTCTCTCACTTCACAATAGAAGCCATAATAGAACCTTTAAAGGTGAGATTCCAGAATTACTTCAAAAGGAAACATGACACTGGTTTTGATTTTTTTTAAAAAAAGAAAATTAACATGAACCACTTTGGTTTACAAATTCAAGACTCATGCTAACTTTGAAGTTGTTTTTTTGCAGAACTTGCAGAGTAAATTTAAACCCAGGCAGAATTTATTTCCACAATGTGCACTAAATCACTGTACAGAAAATAAACAGTTTTTTACTCCAGTTTAAGACACTTTGTAATATAGTACTTACATGCCTGTATTTTTGATAATGCGACCTTGGTCCATTTTTTGGCCTATTCCATGTATAACAAAGACAATGTGGGTGGGGAGGGGAGGTTTGTCTTCCAGTGAAGACTCTTCAACATATCCTCTATGTAGTCTAGTCCCACTACTGGATGCTGCAGGGATCAGAGAAATATTTACAATTAGTTATGAAGGAAAACATTTTTAGTTATGAGCACACTGGGACACTATCTTTTAAATCAGTTGCTTGTAGACAAGTTCAACTGTCCATCTGACAACTGTTGTTTCACATGCACTGATTTTGTTATTGTGAATTCCAACACAACTCTGCAGTTAATTCTACATTTGTCATTTGTTTAAAACATTTCTGCGGTTCCGCTTACAAAAGACTAGGAATTATTAATTGAAAAATAGTCAACACCCACACCCCCAAGTTGTGTTGAAGCCAGTGGTATGTACGCGATACATAACCATGGCGTACATAACCAAATGATAAACGCGTTTAAAAGACGTCTTCAGCCACTGGAATGTCTAGAAAGTTATGAAATCAACTCGTGGAAACAAACAAACCGCTGTTGTGATCATACAATTAATTCTATTCTTCTCAAAAGGTCAAAAAGGGAATTTACATTTTTAGCAATAATAAAGCTAAAACCTTTTTCTAAAAATGGGCCTAATCACAGTCTGAAGTTACTTGTAGGATTTTATTAGCACACCGTGGCAACATATGCTCTTCCAAAACAGCCAACCTGAATCGTCAAAATAGCTTTATTGTTATATTTGCACAATTCTGTATTCAGTGAAAGAAAATAGTTGCCATACTGTACCTTTGGAAAACCCCAGCTTCTGAGTAACTGTCCTGGCAATTTTGGATGTGGTTGCATCGCTGTAAAGGTAAACTTCATCTACACTGTACCAGTCTACGTGGTTGCGGCTGAGCTTTAAGCTATGTATAGCTGTGGCAGATAACAAAGACACACACATTTGAAATGCTAAGAAAATACATGCTTTCATAAGGCAGATTCTTGCCTACTCTACAATACATAGGCAATGTCTATTACTAATTCAACTCATAACAGTGCAAAACTGTTATCTCATGCATCAGTGATCAGGAGGCATGCTTGATTCAGGGATTAGTAAATTAATGCAGATTAGATGAAGCACTTCATGAACTTCATGTTGGGTTTTTCAGGTTGAAGCATAAATCAGAAGTCTTTAAATGTGTTTTTCTTCTGTGGTGGGTTATCATGGCCATGCTGGGCAATCAAGTTTAACCTGTAACAAGTCTTAGTCCAACAGTTCATGAAGTGCAGGTCTTAGCATGTAAAATGTTAGTATTCATTTCCAAGGAAATTAATTTGCATTTCCTTGATAGGTAATACTATTTCCTCTTCCTAAAAGCATACACTAAAAGCAACCCATTATGTGGTTGCCAGCCAAAAAAAATCTCCAGAAGTTGCAAATTAAGCACTTAATAAAGGCTTTATACAGCAGGATTTTTGTGGGCACAGCAGTGAAAAGAAAATTATTAAATGTTCAAGGACAGCATATTTCCGGTGCTGTCAGAGATTCAGGAGAGGAGAGTATAGTCTAATTGGAAAGCTCTTCTACCCAATAGCGAAACTGCAGAATATTGTTACTGTACCTTGGGAACGTTTTCTTTTGTTACATGCAGTGTCTGCACTTTCCTTATATCCTCTCCATTTGAACAGAAAGGGAATGTAGAAGGGAGGCAGATGAGAGAAAACTAACAAAATAAAAAAAGTGAACTTGATGGATTTCGTGTTTGCTTCACTGATCATCTTCAGATTACGTAGGTCTTGAGAACTCAAAATACACTCTTAACATGGACACATTTAAGGTTGAAATTACATTACACAGCACTAGCTAAGATTATAATGCTCAATTATATCTAAACATATTTGTAAATGAAATTGTTGTTAAAAAAAATCTTACCCACATATGTGAGGTTACTATCAATTATGAAATCTCAGGACCTATGACATCTGAAGCCTTATGCCCAATCTAGGGTTGTCACACCAAGAATCTCCCAACCACCAGTAATTGGCCAGGCCTCAGTCTCTCATTAGTTGCATTATTTTCTGCTTTTATAATAGGTTGGAGTTCTATATAATTAGCACAACCGTGTTCATATTTCATAGCATATCTTCAGTTGCCTCCCCAACATATTTTGTGAATTGTTTGCACTTAAGAGAAAGGCAAAGTCATTGCATCTGGAACCATACTCAATGCAAATGACCTGGTGCACTGTAAAACGAGCAAAAAGTAAATTATGTTGCAGAAACTTAAAGAGGAGGCTCTCACTTCAATTACCTAAACCTAAAAGCAGAAGAAAAAAAAGTACAGGGGCAAATCCTCTTGTCACATAAACTAGATCTACACGATATTGCAACTCATTAGCTTATACAACTGTACTTTTGTTGTTTGGCATCCCAGTGTTATTTCCTAAGTAAGGAATTACATACTGCAAGTGTGTATCGCAGAGCTATCGCAGGAATGTTTTACACTTGTGATAAGGTCATTCAGTTGAACAGCCTTAAGATTTGCTTAGCCTTAACAGGATGGAGACATTTCCACACTATTTTGATAAAGGAGTTACAGGTTAGTAAATATCTTATGCAATCCAGGAAGATGGCCAAAATTATTCTTACACTGTAATTCAAAAGGACCCACTGTGATATTTTGCATATTGAATATCATGAAGATAATCAACTAGTTCTAGATAAACCAACACTTTTCCTCAGCCAAGCTATTGGGGTGGAGGGGGTGGGCTTAGAAAGGGGAAGAGATTTTAAGAGAACTAAACTTCAATTTACATTTCAATCAGTTACTCATCCATTCCTTTGGTGAGAATATAGAATCATCTGCTGTGAGAAAGTCGCTGGTAGCCAGAGGTAGCTCAGGTACTACAATATTCTTACCTAAGAGGATAATCCTGCTTTTCTCCCTTCTGCTTAAAGCATAATCAGGACTAAGATTAGATCCACATCTGTAGCTACGTTCAGCATCTCACACATTTGACTTTTAAAAGCAAATATTTTGTTTACAGCAAACTCAAAATTTAACGGCAATGGTCCTAAAATTTGCAAATGCTGACTGACTTTTTTAATGCCTAGAAACAAATGTGTATGGGATACTTAGTGTCCATTCTGCTGGGTAGCCTTCTATTTTCTCTAAAGAACTTAGTTTTCATCCAATTAACAAGTTTAGTCTATGCCAAATCCTGCTAACCTACAAAAGATAAACAGTGTACAGTTTTATAGTGGTTTTAATTGTAGGGAAGATGTCTCAAAGAGCTTCACACAAGTGATTTTGGGGGGAGAAGGGAGGAAGAAAGTGGGGGAAAAAGATGGCCAAAAATGCAGTTGAAGAGAAAAATTCAACAAGTATTTCAAATTTAATACAGACTGTATCTGTAAATTTAACTTTACATTTGTTGAATATTAATAATAATCCTTGAATTTGATATAGCGCTTTTCACATCTTCTCGACATCTCAAAGTGCTTCACAGAATAGACTGTAAAGTGAATTGACTGTATATTTTTGGGCGAAACGCGGCAGCCAATTGCGCACAGTGTTAAGACTTCCTTTTGCTGAAAATTATATAGCAAAACTGTAGATTTCAGGAAAGATGTTAGGGACTTGAAGGGGGTGCAAAGGAGGTTTACAGCACCTCCCTTTCACGTCCTTCCGATGTGAAAGGCGCTATACAAATGTTATCTTCTTATTGTTGTTACAAGAATGATTCTTGGGATAAAAGGCTACAGTTATGAGGAGAAACTGGAGAAGCAGGGCCGGTTTTCATTCCAATAGAGATGTTTGACACGGGGCCCTATAGAAATGTACAAATTCATGAGAGACTTTGTTAGGGTAGTTAGAGAGACGTTTTCCATTGATAAGGGAGCCAGTAACGAGAGGACATATGTCAAATTGTCTGAAGAGCAGTGTTGAGCATCATCTAAAAAGCACCAGTAAAAGGTGTAAATACATCCTCCACCTCTTCCAATGCCCCACTCTCCACAATCCACATCCCTTTGTCTCAGACGACCTGGTAAAATTTGCAATACTAGGAACTGGATTTTACACAACATAGTGGCACATTGTCCAGAAAAGCAAATGTATTTTAAATATTCACGCAGAAGTACTTCACCACACCAATTACAGCGATTGTGCTAATCATGTAGAGTTCCACTTGATTCTAAAGATTAATGTTTAAATAATGCAGACTCCTTTTAACCCCTGTAAATTGTACATCACATTGTATTTATTTCCAATGATAGAGCGATCTCTGTCCCAACCTTAGGACATGGCTGATGTTGCAAGCATCCTTTGCATGCAAAAGCTGGACAAAAGCAAAATCATCTGTAGACTTCAGGATTTCATTCTGGTGTGCTTTGGACACCAGAATCTATTTAATCTATTACATCCTGCACAGGCATATGGATCAATTAAAATAGCAACATGCAAACAAAATGTGCCCAAATGGTCCAATGTGTCTAGGTTATATATTGAAACAGTAACACCTGCATCTGTGAACAAACACGAGAATCTCTGCACAGCACAAATTTTCCAATTTTATAAACAAAGTCATTAATTTCATAAATTACTCATCAGATTCAGACCAGGGACCAGATCCTATGCATTTCTGTCAGGCAAACAGAATTCTAAAATGCCAGTTTATTCCATCCATCGGCAAATTTGTTTAATGAAACTAATATATTTCTATCTGCACACCATCTCCAAGAAGGCAGACAGATAAGATGGGTTAACAGCTTCTGCCAATGCCTCTCTAGCTACTCACCCCACCAGGAGATTTATAAAATGGCCTGGGTGAATTGATTTTTCTCTCCCTCCTTTGGTAGAAAAAACCCAAACTCTTGTCTTAGCATACCACCCTTAAATAAGCCATTTAGGCATTTGGAGCTCTGTGCTCAGAAAATCGTGGAAATAAATTTAGCTCTTACCACTCAGAGGTGAAATGCACTGTCCTATTAATCTACCTCATGGCTAGTTCTCACAAAACCCACATTACAGACCAGTATTGGTTTTTCATTGCTCTCCTACCTGCCTCATTATGCTCTTATTCCACAGCCCCACTTCATTTGAAAGAATATCAGCCATGTTTGAATGGTAAGTAGTTGTAAACTCAAATATGTTGGCACATTAGAAAATCCAGTGTAATGAGTTAATTTGTGTTATTATCTTGCAGGACTTGTACACAACATAAGGAATTCAAATTTAGGTTTTGATACCAGTGTCTCACCAGACCCATATAAGAAGTGAATCTCCGCCCAGTTACAGCAATGAAAATATCTCATACATTAAGGAAACCACCTCCGACCCACTAGGAAAAAGCCTAATCTGTGAGGAGCCTTAATTACAAACCTGGAGGGATTACATTCAACTTGGGCAATCATTGTGAAGGAATGACATAAATATAGTAAATTGTTTTGTGGTGCCTCGTCAATCTTCTAAATGACAAGACACTCACTATAAGCAGTGTTCACTTAGCTAAAATGGAATATTAATTAAGTAGGAGGAGGGCTACAAATATTTTGGGGAGTGGGGTAAGAAAGAAAATAGTTTATCGTTAAAATAATTTCACAAAGCAAGTGTGTTTCAGAAGAACATTCAGTTATTGCGCAATTTCTGTAGCATTCTCTCTAGCAGCATCAACACTTGTTCATGAATAAATGCTAAACCTGAATAATTAATCTCAGGGGCATGACTGAAAGAATCCAGACGCAGAACATTTTAATGTTCTGCTGGACAATAAATGAATAATGCTGTGTGCAAATCGGCAGCCGTGTTTGCCTACAAATACTGATGTTTTAGAAGCTGTATCAAATGCAAGGATTAATATTTTCCCATACCTGAAGATATACAAATGTTATTTTTTGTGATATGACTATTAGACTTCTGCTCTAATCTGGTTTCTTGGCCTCAAGATACAGTAATGATTCTAAACACACATTTCACTTTCTCTTGAATGACTTTTCACACAAATAGTTTTCTTTTTTTAAAAAAAAAACAAGTCATTCTGGGTCAGTCATAGCGGCAGATATAGCACTTAACCTGTCATTTTTAACATTGCACCTTATAATATCAATCAACATCAGACTAAGATAATGAGAACATGTAGCCACCTGCTGACTGATAACGATATTAAACATGGCAAATCTGAAGAATCAGTAATACACGATTGTGTTCAGCTGTATATTTTTGTGTAGAATCTGTACCACCAACTCTCCCCCCCTAAATAATCTAAGTGTCTGTGTAATTGGTACTGACAAAGGCGGCCAATTAAATAATTAGAAAGGCAATTCATAGACTTTGAAAATAAGGCTTTCTTTCCCCCAAAAGTTCCCACTTTTAAAACCTCAATAAACATATTTTAATGTTTCCTTAGTGCAAGAGAATTAGTAGGCAAGCACCAAAACAGCACAATAGTCAAGCATTTCAATATTTATGACTTGGCTGAAATCAAGTTTATTTTGGGGAGGTGGTTAAGTTAGTATTGTAAATAATGATTAATTATGAATGATTACGTTACGTATGACCATGACTATAACATTGATTCATATGATTATGGGTAATGTACCTGCTGCTTTAATAAGGAAAACGGGCATTTGAATGACCTATATTTACATATATACAATCTTTCTAATTATTTTAAAATCAAACTCATCATCCAATAGGTCATTTAGAAAATACTGAAGTCTAACTTACCTAATAACAGATAAAATTAGAAGCAGCCTAGCGAGGGAATGGACCTCATGAAGTTTGGTAAGGTTCTTTTTCACCAAACTCCAAAAAGGATCGAAATTAAATGCCGAACATCAAGTTAAACTGCAATGTTCTATGTTTGAGTGGGATGCCATATCATAAGTAACTTTTCCTGAAGATAGTTTAACAGACAAATTCCAGATTGTTTAAAAATATCAAAGAATGTACACTAAAAGGTTACATTTATAATGAAGAATTAGCAAGAGAATCAGAGAAACCGGCCCACTTTCACACTGGGGAATGTCTCACAGATACTATGATGCTGTGCCATTCTAGTAACTAATTATATTGTATCGTTGTGAACTTTTGTTGATTAAAATGAAATGCAATAGTTCTCAAACCTTTAAAAAAAAATCTCAATTTGTTTAATTTATTCATGGATTTTGGAAAGCCACAAGTCAAACTTATTGTCCTGCAAAAGTTTTAAGACCATATGTAAAATATATATTAATTTAAACTATAAAGGATTATTATTATATTATGAAATGCATCTGCAGAGGTCAGAGTTTAGAACCCTGAAATTATTATTCCGAGATTAAAATGGAAGCTATTTTGCATTAAGATGCTAAAGAAGACCAACGTACTTTACTTTAGCAAGAATGATTTGAAAAGTCTGAGATCAGTGTTAGGGTCTTTTTTCATCTTACCATCTTTACTATCCATAGGTTTGGCTACATCCATTTCAAAACCTTCATGTATCCTTTGACCCCGAAAAGATTGGAGGTGTTCACCTTCAATCAGATTGCTGTCTTCTTCTTCCAAAGGCTGCCATGTCCCATCGATAAACCACTGACCACGCATCACTGGAATCGTATCCACTTCTGCAAAGTTGAAACGCAGGTAAAGCTAGTACCAGTGAGCACAACTTGACCCGATTTTTGTTGTGAAATAAGGAGTGATACAAAGATGGGGGTGAGATGAAAATGGAGATAAATAATGCAACCTGACTTCAACACACAGTTATTTTTGTAGTTATTGGTTTTCTATGTATGGTTCATAAATTTTAAACATTTAAAAAAATGTAAACACCTGAGTCATGAGCATAGTCAAATGATAGGTGAATACGTGCCTGTCCTGTGTACCTATGGAGGAGGGTTCAAGTAGGAATTATTTGAGAGGGGGAAGGGCAAAAGAGACTTTTTCTTCAGATTTGACACTCCATGCACACAGCTGGTTGACCACCAAAGCTGCGTCAGTTAAAATCGACCACAATAGAGTATATTGTTTAAACCACGAACAAAACGAACCATGTGAGACTACAAGCAGTTATCCTTTTATAGCCTGCTTGATCATCAATGTAAATTTCTGTAAGAATATGTTTCATTATAAGATCAGCATGCTTCTAATTTGGTTTAGAAATTAGCCAGCCCTAATTTAGTATGCCATCTGTATTTTAATTATGAGCAATACGGGGAAAGTTTTTTTTTAAATATAAGAGTGCACATTGTCTTCTCCACACTCTCTGTTTCACATCTCCAAACTCAATCTCGCTCCCAGGTTTAATTTCATACATGGAAGTGATGAATAGATGGAATGTACTCACATCAACTGAAGCTCCATCCATCATATTAAACTTTTATATCCAATTTTTTTTGCGTGCCAGGCACAGTGGCACATGCTTAGAATCGGGAAACTCAGACCCTGAGGGAATTGTGTTTGTTTGGAGCACATTTGTTTCCTCTCACACACTCTTTGTATTGTTCCCCTTCCTTATAGCATTTCTGTTCATTGTACCAGTGGGGGGGGGGGGGAGGGTTAGTGGGGGGGAAGGAAGGGGAAAAGGAAAACCATTACAGATGTAGTGAGTCAGCTTGGCTTAGTTGGCAGCACTCCGGCACTTTGAGTCAAAAATTTCTGTTGTTCAAGCTCCATATTGGAACTTGAGGTCATCAGATACTGACATGAGAAGACACTACAAAAATACAAGTTATTTCTCATCTCCACTGGGGACACATCTTCCAGAACAAGAACCATGGCTGAATTTCCCCCAGAATCACAAAGCTCAACTGCTTGGCTACCTTAACACAGCATTGATCTGGATTCATTCATACTGTTAACCCATGTATTCACTTGTCCATTAGAATATCTTATTTTATGAATCCAGTACAACTTTGGATAAATTTGATTATTTCCCTAAGAAATCCAATGGTGGTTTATTTAGTAGTAAATCGCTACTGTCCTCCCGACGTGAAAGGCGCTATACAAATGTAACCTTGTTGTTATCATCTTAAAAGTTTTAAAACCAGTGCACAGGAAGGATTGAGAACAATTTAATCACAAATAAGGTTTTGGAGCTGCCCGGTTACCGAGTTGTTCAGGCATCACAAACAGAAGCGCCATGTCTTGCAAGATGATGCAACAAATTTCTCTACAAGTAAAGCTGATAGACCGCTGAACAGGCACAAATACAAGCGGCGCTCATTGCTGACCACAACAAATTCAGCTGATAGTGTGACACTCAAACATTATAATGTATCCACTTATGAGGTTGATCAAATTCACTTGAAGCATTTCGCAGATCATATACCTATGGATTTTTTTATTACACTTCCAAACCAATTTCCTTTACCAATGCCAACATAAAAAATTAATGTAGAACACAGGATTTGTACTTGTAATATTAGCACAAGGAAAACTGCACAAAATCTCGTTTGACCCTGCCCATCAAGAGAACAGAATCTGAGTGTTTATCATCTGGTGTGAATTCAGGTCACTGATAGTGGATTTTCGGGGAGGAGGAAAAAAGAGTAAAAGCCAGACGGCCACCCACAGATGGATCAATGATTTTGAACCTGCAGCCGAGCTTGATACCGTGCACCATAATCCAGGCTCAGCATTTGAATCCACAAATGGATTTAGCAGAGCTACCCCATTTATACTGGTAAGTAATTTCACTAAATACTGTATTAATAGTACTTAAAAGTCTGCACATCCGCACGTGAATACCGTCACAACTTCTGCTGAAAGGTGTCTATAAGACTACTGGCAATGAAACGTATCCAAGATGGGTATGATCAACACCGGTTCATAGTGACAAAGAGCAGTCTTACTTACTGCAGTGGAAATGGATTGGCTGTAAAGATAAATGTGTTTAATTTTTAGAATTCAATGAATCAAAGTCAGGTGATTGCTGTTCCACCACCGATGTCTTTGACATACCTGTAATTACAGGATAGTCATTGTCACATCGACAGATCAGTGATACAGCAGCTTTTGTTTCTGAAAACCAAACCACTTGTTGCTGCAACACTGGTTTCGCTTCCCATCTGTTTCTCAATTAATTCTATACTTTTGAGAAGGGGCACTAGTATTACACAAGTATTAACAGGAATTTGAAGCAAGCTACGTTCATCTCACAACTGAACATCGAGAATTAAGTCAGGAAGCATTACTTCACACAGAGGGTTGTGAAGATGTGGCCCACAAAGACAGATATATACTTGGGTAGTAAAGATATTAAGAGTTATGGAGAAAGGGCAGCATATTAGAATTAAAAGATCTGCAAAGACTTAACAAACAGGTAAAATGGTATAGAATAGACGAAGGCCATTCAATGGCTGCATGGCCTTCCTCTGTTCTATACCATTTTGGCCGCTGGGTAAATTCATGCTCAAGCAAATGTCCCACAGTATATCAGCACCACAGATTTTAGCAAAGCATTGGTTTCTTTGAATAATTCCTTTGGAGTTTACAAATTGCAATGATTGAGCCAATTACAATTCCTATACTGGAAGCACTGTCAGCAATAATTTGCAGCATTACTGTACTCAGTTAAACAAAACAGGTGGGTTGACAGTCAACATATGGTTGACGGTATGAACAAGCAAACAAATCGGCTCTTTTATACAATTATAAAACATTTTTCTTCTCATCCACAAAATATTCTGCGATTCAATGTGGCCCAATATACTCTTGACAATTGAATATTTTTTTTAAACAAAGATTCAGAAATGTCTACAAAACGAGAAATCCCAGATAAAAATTGCAAATGCAATTCATTAATTTCTCAGTGCAGTTACTAATCAAGACAAAACGGTGCAGCATTTCTAGTACATGGCACACAATTCAATTGCTCACTAGTGGAGCTTTCAACATTTATTGAAAGCGAATTTATTGAAGTGAAATCATGATTTCCACAAAAGCGCTTGTATTACTAACAGCAATTGAATAGCACTGTTACACTCTCCATAGTTAAAGATGATCATGGATATTGACACCATCGATTTGATCCTTTACTTGAAGTGGCAACTTGAAAATAATGAATTTATTGTGACTAGAAATTTAAACCTTGTGGAAACAGCCTGGATGGGGAGCCATGCACAACAGAACTGAACAGAGTAAAAGGGCACCAGTAATGACGTTTCTAATTAAACACCAAGTAGTTCAGTAACTTCAAAGCAGCTGCAGGTCCCACTTCATCCGAAGTGTCATTTCATCCGTGACACCCACAGCGGAGAAACCACCAGTGAGAGTGAGAGATTAAAATATCGTACTTCTCTTGAACCTGCGACCAAACTGCCGGATGTAAATCAGTAAAACGCTGCGTAAATTAAACTGATAAAGAAATGAATGAAAACTGCATTTGATCAAATGCAAGGACGACGACGATGATTACTACTACTGCTACTACCGCCACTGTGAAGTGTAGGGACTGCTGCGTACGCTGTGGGATGTCGGGTTAACTGTAAAGTAGTGACTGTGCACTCTGTAGGAATTGCGACTGCGGTAATAACGACCACGACATTTGCCTTCGGCGCAGCGCCTCTCAGCGCCTTCGCGGGACGACCGTGTCCAAGTGCATCGACTGGTTAAAGTGGTTGCGAGAGAGGACGGTGTCGTGTGAGAGGGTGTCAGGTTCGGTATCAGATAATAATAATAATAATAATAATCCTTGCATTTGATACAGCGCTTTTCACGTCGGGAGGACGTCCCAAAGCGCAGATAGTGATGGTGGACACATGAGGAGAGGGGGAGAGAGGAGAGAGAGAGAGAGATAGAGAGAGAGGAGGGATCATAACCACAGAGAGCCTCAACCCATACGGCGCACACAAAGCCGTGCACTCACGGTGCCAGTAGACCGGGTAGCATTGCTGGTCCACCACGTTAACCTCGTAAAGTCCCCCGCGGACACACACAGAGGCCACACCGGGCGACAGGCCGTCCTGACCCGGCCCCGGGCCCGGCCGACCCGGCCTCTCCGCCGCCTCCTCCGCCGCCGCCGCCGCCGCCGCCATCTCCTTCAGGTGCTCGCGGTACATGAGCTCGACCCGCAGCGAGTCGTAGCCGATGAAGGGCTTCCAGGTCTTCTTGTCCTCCTTGTAGAACCAGCGCACCTCCTCGGAGCCGAGCTCCCCCACCACCTCGTAGCGGTGGTGCCGGGTGCTGTGCGGCCGGTTCAGCTTGCGGTCCACCGACAGGTCGCTCTCGCTGAAGAAGGCGTCGGCCTCGGCCTCGGCCTCGGGGTAGGTCAGCGACACCTCCGAGTCCGGGGTGAAGAGGTCGAAGGAGTCGCCGGTGAGGGAGCGGAACATCTCCAGGCCCAGGTGGACGGGAGGCAGCCCCGACCCCGCCTCCTCCCGCCGCTGCTGCTGCAGCTGCTGCTGCTGCTCCACGGCCTCGGCCTCCTTCTCCTTCTCCTCCATCCTCCGGCTCAGGTAGCTGCGCCTCTCCGGCTGCTCGCACCCCTCGGCCGGCTGCTCGGGCGACCAGCCTCCGTCCATGGAGTCCGTGCTGCCCTTGTGCTGGAAGGCGACGTTTGGAGGCGGCTCCGAGGCCGCCGCCGCCGCCTTGGGAGCGCTCATGGCCGCCCCGCCCCGGCCGCCGGGGATGGCGGAGGGAGGGAGGGAGGGGAGGGGCGCGGATGTCCTCAACCTCCCGGTAACGGCAGCAATGGGACCCCTCCCCCGCTCCCGGTCTCTCTCTCGCGCGCTCTCGCTCTCTCTCTCCCGGTGGGCGGAGGAACAGCGCTCGGCCTCTCTCACCGACTCTCTTGTGATGGTCACAATCAGATCCGCGTTGGCGGCATCGCCATTGGCCGTCACCCGTCTCCCCCCCTCTCACCCCCACCACCACCGCCGCCGCCGCCCCCCCCCCGGCACCAGCGTCACAACGTCCCGCACGTCACTCACTCACTCACTCACACAGCTCCTCTCACTCACTCACACAGCACAGCTCCTCTCACTCACTCACTCACTCACACAGCACAGCTCCCCTCACTCACTCACTCACTCACTCACACAGCACAGCTCCTCTCACTCACTCACTCACTCACACAGCACAGCTCCTCTCACTCACTCACTCACTCACACAGCACAGCTCCTCTCACTCACTCACTCACTCACACAGCACAGCTCCTCTCACTCACTCACTCACTCACTCACACAGCACAGCTCCTCTCACTCACTCACTCACACAGCACAGCTCCTCTCACTCACTCACACAGCACAGCTCCTCTCACTCACTCACTCACAGCACAGCTCCTCTCACTCACTCACTCACTCACTCACACAGCACAGCTCCTCTCACTCACTCACACAGCACAGCTCCTCTCACTCACTCACTCACAGCACAGCTCCTCTCACTCACTCACACAGCACAGCTCCTCTCACTCACTCACTCACTCACTCAGCACAGCTCCTCTCACTCACTCACACAGCACAGCTCCTCTCACTCACTCACTCACTCACACAGCACAGCTCTCACTCACTCACACAGCACAGCTCCCCTCACTCACACACTCACTCACACAGCACAGCTCCTCTCACTCACTCACACAGCACAGCTCCCCTCACTCACACACTCACTCACACAGCACAGCTCCCCTCACTCACACACTCACTCACACAGCACACCTCCCCTCACTCACACACTCACTCACACAGCACAGCTCCCCTCACTCACACACTCACTCACACAGCACAGCTCCCCTCACTCACTCACTCACACAGCACAGCTCCTCTCACTTACTCACACAGCACAGCTCCCCTCACTCACTCACTCACTCACACAGCACAGCTCCTCTCACTCACTCACTCACACAGCACAGCTCCCCTCACTCACACACTCACTCACACAGCACAGCTCCCCTCACTTACACAGCACAGCTCCCCTCACTCACTCACTCACTCACTCACACAGCACAGCTCCCCTCACTCACTCACACAGCACAGCCTCCCTCCCTCACTCACTCACACAGCACAGCTCCCCTCACTCACTCACACAGCACAGCCTCCCTCCCTCACTCACTCACACAGCACAGCTCCCCTCACTCACTCACTCATTCACTCAGCACAGCTCCCCTCACTCACTCACTCACTCACTCACTCACCCTGCTCCCCTCCCTCACTCACTCACACAGCACAGCTCCCCTCACTCACTCACTCACTCACTCACTCACCCTGCTCCCCTCCCTCACTCACTCACACAGCACAGCTCCCCTCCCTCCCTCCCTCCCTCCCTCCCTCACACACACACACACAGCTCCACACACTCATTCACTGTTCCTGGTTAATGTCCCCACTCCTTCTGCTCAGCAGGACTTTCAACCCATCAGCACCCACTCTCTGGGCCTCCATCCCGGAGTCCCTTCACTTCACTTTTTTCCTCACCTCCTCCAGGAACCAAGTCCTTCCTCTTTGACCGCACCTTTGGTCATATGCCCCCCCTATTTCCGCCCCACGTTAGGTCTCTCTTCCACCTCTCTCAAATCCAAACTCCAGCTCAGATGCAAACTCTTGTGGAGTCCTGTAGCTCAGTGGTTAGAGCACTCGCTTTGCAAGCGAGAGACCTGAATTCAATTCCAGGCAGGTCAGGGCGAAACCTTGGGCAAGTTTCCTTACTCCACACAGAGCCTAATAATAATCCCTCCAAAACCAAAAACAATAATAAATTGGTCATTTTCAATCTACAACTGTTTGTGGGACATTGCTGTGCGCAATTGGCTGCCGCGTTCGCCCACAAATATACAGTCAATTCACTTTACAGTGTGTTCTGTGAAGCGCTTTGGGACGTCTTCCCGACGTGAAAAGCGCTATATCAAATGCAAGGATTATTATTATTATTATTGAGTGACCTGCACCTTGGGATGACCTGTCGTGAAAGATGCTATATAAATGCAATTTGTTGTTGTAATATATAGAACACAGACTGCCCCACATAGTCAGTAACTCACTAATTTCCATACAGTTTGGTCCTACATACACTCAATCACTCACACGCCAGTGGCTACTCATGCACAGATGCTGCTTAAGTTAGCAGCACAACTCAGCATAAAATGTACAAAAGTGTTGCCAACATCCTCCTACCCATGTCATTGAACAATGGCTCCATTGGTTGGAAATGGGGAGTTTCAGCAGTAGCTGTTGCTAACCTCTCTGTGTACCAACCAACACTCTACGCTATTTTTTAAATCAGCATAACCACGTGAAAACTGAATGTAGAGTAATCATTTCCGTGGTGGCAAGCAACAGCAGTAGACTGGCCAAGTCTTCTTTATTTCCAGTGCTGATAGACTGGGATAAAATTACTTCTTTCCCTCATCCTTTCACTTCTGATCTTAATGCTGATTGCACTGCAGCAAACTTCAACTGACAGTCCTCCTATCCATTTCTCCAGCAATCTTCTGACAATCTTAAGACATTGACTGCTTTCAATGGGATGTGGTCTTCATGAAGAAATTGGGGTTCATTTTGTGTTATTTAATGTGTCAAACTCACATCATTACATCAATGGGCCTTGACATCAATATGAATAAAATGCAATTTGGTTCTTCTGGTTTTTGCTAAATGTTTTTCCATAAAGTTAGTCTCTCCATTTTAACTTCCATTTTCCACTGTGTGCACTAGCACACTGGTCTACTAGCGTCATTTATCTTTACACAACATTGCCTGTTCTGAAAGCTGGTTTCGTAATTTCTTTAGGAAATTCTGTTCTCATTTCTTCAAATCAACTCGTAATTCTCAACTTATGCTAGTAAGTTAATTTTTCACTTTTTGTTATGCCTTTTGTAATTTTTTTTACAAAGTTGATAAATATTTCATAGAATCACATCTCATTCAGCCCAAAGCGATGTGAGCACATCCACTAGAGCTAATTGTTTTAATCCCCTGCTGCAAGATCCTGCTTTACATCCAAACCTTTTATATTCTTCCTCTTCAAACATTTATCAGCTTACACTTTACCATTTAGTTTATTTGCATTCGAAAACCTCAATAACAAACAGAAACCCATTGCTGCCAAACGTTTTTTNGTGATGGCACAAAATTGCTGTGCACAATTGGCTGCCGCGTTTCACTCACAAAATATATAGTCAATTCACTTTACAATATATTCTGTGAAGCACTTTGAGACGTCTCCAAGATGTGATAAGGCACTATATCAAATGCAAGGACTATTATTATAACTGCAGCAAACGCCTTTCAAAGCCTGAACTTTAAATTCAACATCAAATTTTTAGAGCTAAGAATGACACTGAGTTTCTCCTCTTGGTAATTGTATTGATACAATTTCAGAGAGGACCAACAACAACAACAACAAGATTACATCTGTGTAGCACCTTTCACATTGGGAGGACATCCCAAGGCGCTGGACAGTGTACACCACACTTTACAGATCTTGCCCTCCAGTAATCTGTGATAAAGCACGGTATCAAATGAAACTATTATTTGTATTATTTCAAACTGAACAACTATATGTTCTGAAGAGAAATAAAACCTTCACATTCTGCTTTGTATAATGTAGAATGCAAGCTTATTTTATTATTCCCTGAATATCCCGGTCTGCATTACACAAGGATGCAAGAATAAAAAAGTTCAACACAGCTCCACTTAGAAGGGATGGGCTTTAACTCACTGGAGATCCATTATGTCATTATATGGTATGTTATGGTGTGTTGTTACTGTTGCTGTGTATGTTGCTGTAATACCAGCAGGCCATGTCACACCTATCCAGCCCAGGGCATTGCAGATCACAATAACAAGTTTTGAATTTCTGTTTCCATCAAGTATGCATATATGATAAATACAAGGGAGATGCAAAAGCAGTTCACTTCAAATCTAAATATACAAAAGATACATAATTTTATTCATAAGTCATTTTTAACACACTCAGATTTGTTGAATAAGCAGAAGCTGCAGAATTAAAAAAAGGCTTTCACAATTAACTTGTGAATTTACTACTTATAGGACCTCTTTGCTTAAGATCATATATTGGAATTAGGATGATCACTGTTGGCACTTGACCAAAGCGGTTTAGGTAAAGAAATCCCTTTATCAATAACAATTCAACCACAAACTTATTTTTAATGCCTACTTACTGAACCACAGAACCATAGATTTTTACAGACCAGAAGACCATTCATCCTATCATGTATATAGTGGCACTTTGAAAGAGCAATCCATTCGGTCCCATTCCCCTCGTAGATTATTCCTCTTTTCTGCTCACGATATATTCTCTTATTCTCTTTCAATTAGTATGTTGACGATGATCTCAACTCACACTGAGTTCATCATTTTATGGTTACAGTGGAACCTGGAATCTGTGCTAAACGGGAGGGATAACCCGCTT